CATCTTTCTCGATGGTAGAGACATCTACGTCTTGTAATTTAAACTATTGAAAACAGTCACATATCCTGCCATTTAACCTGCGCTTCTGATAGTTATAAATTCAATGGTCAAGTCAAGAAAATATAATTCTGTGATTTGACTGCAATTAGTCACATCCATTTTTTTTAACATTAGCGTTTGTTTAATAGGGAAAATTCATACAAACAAACAAATTTCAAAATATCCAGATATTACTAAATGGAAGGGCGGGGGAGGGGGGGTATGAAGAGAGGAGATGTTAATGTCCAGCCTTACGGACCGGTGAACACAACAAAAAATGAATCTTTTAAATTTTAAATGCAAATTACTCAACCCGGTTCGATATAGATTGCCATTACTCTTATCATACCAAATAAACCTACTCCTACCATTTAAATATCGCAAATTAGCAGCAACACACATACTCCATCTAATTTAAATTAAATAATAACACAATATGAGAACTAAGACGGCGTCGACAGCGTTTTTTGTGGCAAATGTCAAGATTTTGTCAAGTTCGATTGAAAATAGGAATGGTACTTTTAGAACAACGCATTTAAGACTAAATTTCAGGATAATCACATTCACAATTCTTTTGCGGTAGCGATTTGTCACACACTAAGTCATATTTGAAATCCTTGACAGTCTTGTGAGACAGGTTTTAAAATTTTTATTATATATATCTCATAAACCTTCGAAGTTGGCTTCTTATGTTTTGACAGATGCCACCTAAAACTGCTTTTACTATGGCTCGCATAATTACACTGAGCACATTTGAATTTCTTGGAAGTGTCATGTCGTAACAGATGGGATTTAAAATTGTAATTGTTACTTGTCGCATAATCGCACACGGTACATTTGAAACCCTCGGATTTATCGTGCGTTAGCAGATGAGATTTAAATACATATTTATTATTAGTTGCGTAACGACACTGAGAACATTTGAAATCCTTGGAAGGTTTGTGTGAGGGCAGATGTTTTCTTAAATAGGTCTTATTGGTGGTCGCGTAATCACAATGAGCACATTTAAAATTCTTGTGTGTCTTGTGGATTAATGCGTGCACATTAAAATTGGATCTATTATTTGTTGCGTAATCACACTGAGCACACTTCAAATCCTTTGATATCTTGTGGGTTAATAGATGTTGTTTAAGATGGGATTTGTAATTGGTTCCGAAATCACACTGAACACAATTCCAATCCTTAGTCGTCTTGTGGGTTAATAAATGTCCTTTAAGACCGAATTTATTATTGGTTGCGTAATCACACTGGTCACATTTGAAATCCTTAGAGCTGTGAGTCACTAGATGTCGTTTGAGAATGTACCTAATATTTGTTGTGTAACCACACTGACTACATTTGAAACCTTCAACCGCCTTATGGGTTCGCAGATGTTCTCTTAAATTGCATTCATCTTTGGTTGTGTACTTACACAGAGTACAATTAAAATCTTTCGAAATTTGCGATCGGTTAACAGTCAAAAATTCATTCTCCCATGTGACATTATTTTCGTCTCGACGAGTGCATGTTTCAGACTAATCTCCACTGATTGTAATCTCGTTAACTTCTCGCTTTATCATCATTCCGGACCAGAGACATGGAGAGAGTTCCGGACACATCATTGTTAAGTAAAACTTTCTCATCAATGGCAATATTTATACTGTCTTCTTGTTTTACTTCCACTTTCACAATTGCCGACATTATCGTAGAAGTACGTGACACTAAACAGCGGTCGTTTTGCAATTGTAACCACAAATGATACCTCTTGAGCTCCTTCAGTAAACACAATCGGTAGTGCAATTCTGACGGTACGTTTAACCACACATTATACCTACCACTTGAGTTTATTTGGTAAATGTATGAAACCAATAAATAATGCTATTCTTGAGCGATTCGGTACGTTTGGTCTTAACACAGTCTGTCCTAGCCCCAAATTGTAATCACTGACCTCTATTTAGATCAGTGACTGTTGTAACGCCGCCATTTTGTATGACATGTTAAGGCTGTGGTCACAGCACCGTGTGAAATGTTCGTCTAAATTGTCACCACTGCGCATGTGAAAGGAAACATTTAATATGTAATAAATGAGTGCCAATACTTTGTTAATGTCTTTTGCTTGTGAAGCGCTGCCACTAATCAACAGAATTACCGCATTGTTCCAATTTAGAATTGACTTGTTTACCACGTTCAAGCATGTACCCGCGCAACCCTGTTGAGAACCCGCGGGGCGCAGGTTGCAAACGTCTTTATACGTCAGGATATCTCTCCAAAAACGCGTCGACATTTGCGTCCTTTTTCTTGTTAAAGCCAGACGAGCATTTCGCGAAACTACCGGGTGAGTTGTAGGTTCCACCCTGTACATACAACTTATGACGCGACGATGCACACATTTTTGAGAGCTGGCAAGTGGCAACCACGCAATTTTCAGGAGAGAAAAAGCTTAAAGCTCTCTACGTCATGGAGAGCACGAACGTTGGTTACATGTGGCATCTTGTTTTTAATTGCTGTCACTAACGCGTCGCTCCGTAAATGGTTGGTGTTTTTGTTGTGGTTTTTAATGCAGGTAGTAATCTTTGGTTCTTTATATTGCACTTGTGTTTTGTATGCAGGGTTGTATATTTTTTGTGAGTTTCAATCTTGTATTTTGAACTTGACCTGATTTAACCTCAATGCAGATTCATGTGTTAGATACCGTTAATCTTTTGTTTGAAATCGTGTTCATTTTTGGCGTGATGATTGCTAAATTTTTGTTTACGTGTGGTCTTGGCCACAACTTAGATGTATACATTTTAATTAAGGAATATGGATCCATTTCTTAGTTTTCGAGCATCTCAAAATTAAAAATCAATTTCTTTAATCAAATATGTATTTTCATAATTCATACAAAATCTTAATATTTTATGTTATCAAAAATCTCTAAACCTTCCCCATATAGTTTTATTCGTTGAAGTTTTTAAAAATAACAGCGACTATAGTTTCGGCGTACTGCCATCATCAGGCGATGTGAAAGTTAACAGGAAAACGGTAAATTACAAACGTTGAAGACGGATAAGACGAACATGTTGTTTTTTAATTATAAACTGGCCGAAGCCAAGTGAAAAAACCTGAAGGGTGGTTAAAACGGAAAGGTTGTCCTAAGTTTCAAGACGAATTAATTATCAAGCCTTGTTAAGACAACCAACCGGGGGGTTGAATTTTTACATTAAAGTTGAAATTTGGGTTAACACATTTCAAAAGAACGGGGGGGAAAAAATAAACTTATAAAAGTATTGAAACTATTAAGATGACTACATATTTAAATTATTTAAGTAAAGTTTAAATTCGAGATCATGCAGACGGCATGTCTCGAAATGATTGATTTTTTTTAAAAACTTCAACGAATAAAACTATATGGGGAAGGTTTAGAGATTTTTGATAACATAATATATTTCAACCCCCATTTCGAGGAACGATGGATCCAACTCAAAAATGGATCCAACAAAAAAAAAAAAAAAAAAAAAAAAAAAAAAAAAAAAAAAAATCTTAATTTAAAGCACACATTTCAAGTACTTAAACAAACTGCCAATAATGACATGAATCAACTGCCTTATTATGAGAAATATAATGGTAAACAACTTTTATATAGAAATATTTTGTATACATTTGATATTTACCGAGATATATACCTACTATAGTCTATACATGATGGACACCCTGTTGTAAGGTTCCCAGGGGTTCCTCAGGCGGTACTGAAAATATTGATTTACTCTGTACATACAGTTGGCAACTATGGGGAACAAGTTGCAGACAGCGCCATCTAACTTTAGTTGTCAAAATGTCGGACGTTCGCGCCAGTTTTAGATCTCGGTAGCATTCGGCTTGGACCAAGTTGTGCGAATGGACCCCTACGTTGTCATTTTCCTATGGCGCTCTTTTATTAGTTTGAACGTGAGACACAATCGGGAAGGGAATTAAATAAAAGACAGAATTTTTGTGCGTCCGATAGGAATGAGAAAATGAAATTTATTACGCACGGAGCTTGGTTCCGCAGAGCAAATCCAAACCGAAAGCCAGGAAAAAAGAACCAGCAATAAAAAAACCTGGCATAACACAAATACAAGAAATAAATCAATTACAGCAAAAGCAGACATGACCTTATTCCGACCTTGCTTATCATTCATTTAATACGTGAAAAGTGCACGTGCACCTGAGAATGCTAACACAGGTATTCAAGCGGAAGCAGGCCACATCGCATACAAATCCACATTTTAAACATTTTTCGCAATGCGAGACGCTAAGAATTGCAGCCTGCGCGAGATGAAAAAAGAAACATATACAGCGACAGGGCAAACTGCGTGTGTCTCTCTCTTCCACGGAAATAAATTATTAATCCAAACATTCAGAGCAGTAACATTCTGGTAATCGACTCCCGCGTAAACACATTCAAATAATCGTGAAAAACATTGCGGCATAATTAGGTGCACAAGGGAGCCAAACTAAAACATGACTCATTTAACAGTAAACTCAAACAATAGCGGCCCACGCCATGCCTGCAATCAGCAGAGCTCAAATCTAAAGCAAAGTTCAAAACGAAACCAAATAAAGCGTGAAATTTAAACATTGAATAACGAGTAATACCTTGATATCGCTTGGAAAAATATATCAAACACTAAACTATGAAAAGCACACGCCACCATCAAACACTGGACCACCAGTACTCCCGCCGACGCCACTCTCTAGCTTCCTGTACTAAATTGACGTCTGCGCAGAACGGGATTTTAAAATTCCTGTAGTAGTAAGATGTGTTGCCTATCTGTAGGGGTTCAACATCACGCTATATATGTAACATATTTTGGCTATCCAGAGTTGCATACGCGTCTATGTCTATGTTTTGACCCGCCTCTGTTTTTCTTGATAGTAAAATCGATCTCGTATTGGCTGAAAAAATGGCGCGTACTTTAAATTTTTTTTCACCGGTTTATCCTTTAATCACCTAATTATAAAAACTATAAACTTAAAACCAATGGTATGCTTTTGTAGGTACATAATTTAAATAAACGTTTAGATTTAGGGAGCGAAGATAGGGATATTTTCATTTTCAGTACACACCCCCTAAGTCTAACCCTCATGTTAAGAACCAACCCCTTTTTTTAGGAATTCTCAGTACAATTAAATGTTCAACAATGTTTATATTACTATACATCGTATTTGGTAAGTGAGATCAAGTACAGAAAGGTTCACACATACTTCTTTCAGGAATAATTACCGTTTCACTTATAACCTACTTAATAATACGGTTCTGTTTCGAAACAAGAAGTGTCTCATCGTATCCGAGAATGGCACGTCTGAGGCATCATGCCGAAGTCAGTCCCGGCAATAATACGAACAACGTGACCTGCCCCGTCGCGATTATAATTCACAGCTGCAGCAGCAACGGAAACATCGATTACGACTACGATCTACCTCCGACCTACACGCACTCGGTCACCAATTCGAGAAGCAACTCGACAAACTCCCTGCCCGATTACCATCAGGCCGTCGGCGGTAGAGTTACGACGAATCCGTTATCCGACCAGTACGACTGAAGAGTATTTTGAAAATCTTTCAAAGCTTGCTGTGATATTTTTATATTATATAATATAATGCACGGAAACTTGATAAAGCTTTCGCTCCAATCTATTTAAAATCTTTACTGCTCTTTCTCTTGATATAAGGATTTAAACATCTCTCACAGTCTTCTCCTATTTATAGTATTATCTATATCATATAATTATATTGAATGGATGTATTAATTATTTTTGTTAAATAAATTGTTATCTTAAACTGCAAGGGCGAGTTCGATAAACTATTATCGTAATTTGGGCGCACGCATTTTAAAATTTTCAACTTTGTGCCCCAGCCCCCAGTTCACTTTCGTGATAACCTCTCCCTTCTCCCCAGCGTTTTTTAACCAATGATAACGCGTTTTAATTGAAAGGAAACACGTGACCAAAACAGTATTTAGCGGTAATTATGTAAACAGAACTCTTGCACTCGTTCTTATGGGTGAGCACGTTAAGTTCCTGTCGCAGAATGTCGCCAATTTGTGTAGTTATCCAGCTGTTGTTCTTCGTAACGGTTAAATGTGAGTATAGCCCGTGAGTGAATCATTGTCTTTCACGAATAATTATGAAGGCCAAGACCTAGACGGGGCCCCAATGGTCAATGAGTCGGAACCTTTGGGTAAGTCAAAGTGTAGGTATGTTTGTGCCCTGAATAAGTGCCTCCCATTTCAGAGAGCAATTACACATCGCATGCAAATGGAACGGACTATCAAAGTAAGTGCTATTTCTGTACATAAATTCTCATCAGCTTTCGAAACAGATCCGAACGAGGATAACTGCTGTACGACCTCGTTAATTTTGAAGTTCTTTTCGTTAATCATTGGCAAGTGGACGCTTCGATCTCATTAACCACAAGTAACCGATTGGATTTCAGGGGGCCTGATGGTGTTTACCTTGGTTTACTTGCTAATACAGTGCTGCCACGATAACAAGCACGTATCGTTCGCGCGAGTGCGTACAAATAGGGCGCCGCCCTGCGCCATTTTCATGGAAAACTTCCAAAGCAACACCACCCTGATACCGAACGAGAAGCAGTCGAAAAAGTACGTTTTACCGTACGACGACTCGCTAGAGTACATCGACAACGAGCCGTTACACACGTACGACTTTCCTATGCTGAGTCCATTATCCAAGGGTGATAAGAAGTAGGTTATATTCTAATTCGGCTATAACCTTATGACCTTGACACTGACTGATAACATTCATATGTAAATAGCTATTTTTTATAGTAATGTTGATCGCACGTCGATGACAATTAATGTTTTTGTACTTAGGTATTTCTTTAGATGTATATTTTTCTACATTATAACGTCTTTTTAGTATTACAGCCTTTTATTACCTGAAGTAATACCTACCTGAATACCTGAAGTAAGGTAATCGGGCCCAGTCTGACGCTCGAAGCAATAGATGAACTTTATCTCGGGTTAGAGGGCACAACCAAGTTCTAAAAATCGAGTTTAATAATATAATCATTTCCCCTGACCCGAGTCACAGTGAGTGACTTTCAACACACTGCATTTGTACCAAAGGCTGACACGCTGACCCCCATTGACTGGCATGTATTGTGCCTAGAACAAGACAAAATGCTTTTTAACAGATTTATTGTATCCTACCCAATCTACACGTACCTACGTCCGTTACGTTTACATAGCTGATATGACAAATTAGTTAAGTATGTTTACATAGCTGCTACATTTCCCTGAAAGCTCAAACATATACCTACCTTAATAATGATACATTATTAAGATTTGGTTAATACAGTCGAAAAATTAGTTAGCAAAATAATTTCGAGTTTAAGCAGTGGTTAACAAAGATAATAAATGCGTATATACCAAGTTGGTTACGCCCAAAGTTAAAACCACATTTTGGGAACTAATGGGTCAAGTAAGCAGGTATCTAAACTCTGAGAAAGGTTGAAGGGAACAGATATGTGACTAATCTTTGGTGCAATAAAGTCCTTTTGTTAGGAGTAAGATGGAAAATTACATGGCAAATTCAATTAACGGCAAGATATGTGGAAATCGCAACTCATTTATCGCACATCGATTCTAACCGAAGAGTTTTTATTAGCATAATCTTGTCCCCAAGATAGATAACTCGCCCCTCGTTCGGGGTTCGAGCCTAATACAGTTGAAAGAAGTCGAACGCAATTACGGAATTAGGTCTCATAGCTCAAATGATTACAGTTTTTACCACCCACGTGATTGCTTCATTCTCGGAGAAAATGTTAGTAAAAATTCGGTAAGTAAACAATTCGGTAATTTCCACATTGAAAGGTTCCTCCCTGCATATGCAACTTACGACGATGCACATATTTTTGAAAGTTGGCAACCATGCAATTTCTAGGTGGGGAAAAAGCTGCCTGCGCCACCTAGAAAGCACGAACGGGGTTACGTTTGCCATCTTGTCTTGAATGGTGGTCGTGAACGTGTCGCTCAATAAATGTTTGTTGTTGTTTTGTGCTATTTAATGCAGGTAGTAATTTTTGCATTTCTTTATATCGTATTTGTGTTTTATATGCCGCAGTTTATACTTTTTGTATGTTTCAATCTTTGTTTTTGAAATTTACTTATTTAACCGCAATGCAGAATCACATATGTGATACCGTTATGCTATTGTTTGGAATTGTTTACGTTTTTGGTGTAATGCTTCCTTAATTTATGTTTATAGACCAGTAAATGATCGTTTTGGCGTGTAATTTTTCGCGCCTCGACGGATTTGCTTGAAAGTTTGGATTTAGGTTCCTCTTACCCTCTACTTCATAGGTGAACTTGAGCCCAGGGTTGCTTTTACTTGGAGGGGTGAATGCCACCCCTTCTCGGGCTGGAGTAGAGCCACACCATTTACATGTTTCCTATGTACATGCAATTTATTTATTGTACGAGTTGTGTTATCTCAATTGATCGTACAGGTGTTTTGATGTGTTTTTGTACTGAATTGATTTATCATGTTTTCCACTGCGTTTATGATGTCTTGTGTATTTTGTGTTTATGAACTTGTTTAATTCCATTTGATTTCGATTATCTGATTTGTATTATACAATTTGAGATGTTTTATTCATGTGTATTTTTTCTTGCATTTATTACTGTAGGTGATTTATTTCATGTATTTGTGTGGCCTATGCCGGGGTTTTTGTCCCGTAGAATGTTTCCCTGGTATGGTCTTGTTGTGTGCGTAATATATTTATTTGTTCTTGTCATTTCTTACGCACAAAAGTTCTGACTTTTATTTAATTCCCTTCCCGATTATGTCTCACGTCCCAACACATACAAGAATCAATTACACAACGTAGGAGTTCATTCGTGCCATCCGTATCGAGCCGACTGCCATCCAAATTCAAAAGTGCCGCGAAACTTCCATTGTTTCGACTTGAAAGGTAGGTGGTTCTGCTCGTAGTTTTTCACAGAGTTGCCAATGGTAAGTATAGGGTAAGTCAACGTTTTCAGTGTCGGCTTGATAGACCCCTAGGACCATTACATTTTATACTCCCGCTGCTCGCACAGATCTTTTGCGCAACTCTCCTTTGTGTATATATATGGTTAGGCTTTTTAATAATTTATCTTTTCTCGGCGACATCCATTTTCATATGTCCTGTAATTGGAATGTATTTCTGTAGGACATTAAATGATTATTATTACATATTTGTTTGTTTAAACTCCTTTGGATTGATTAGAGAGAGACTTCAATTCTTTGTGTACGAATCTTTTTTGAGTGTAATTAACCTTTTCGCACTTGCAGAGGTAGATGCCGAAGTGATAACATACTTAGCGGCATTCATCTCGAAATACAACTTTAGTCTAAGGTTACCGTATTCAGGACCTTCAGATACATTCTGGGTTGGAGGAGGCCCGGCTAATTGACTATGCATTTTATGTAGGTACTTTTTGCAAGAGACTTCGGAAGTTATCCTTCACCAATGGGAAATTGGAGGTCCTTTAAATCTACTTGAGCTGTCCTTTCTTTATCTTATCAAATTTTGTATTAAATTAATGTCAGATTTAAATTATTCAAATTCAAGAGTTACTTCTTTCGATTGTTAATCTTTGTATATTGTACTAGATGTGATGTAAAACGTGTTTAGCATTTTCAGTTACCTCTCATGCTCCAGATTTCTGTGTCTGTGCATTCCCTTTCGTGTGTAAATATTTGTAAACTGTGAAAAGATAAGGTTTCAATCAACAGAACTGGAAAAACGTTATATGTAAGTACAGAGGCTCTTTTTCTGAACGCTACGCTTTGCTTATTCGCATTCATTCATAGAACTAATACATAAGAATCTTTTTTCTCTTTCTTTGACTAATTTGAAATGAATAATTTGTCATTTTTTGAGAGTAGCCTAGGTTTGCAATATGGCGCAGCTCTCTTTCTCTCCCCTGCTCTCTTTTCACTCGGAATATTTAACTTATATCATATGCAGCCAAACGATAACGCTATTAATTATAACTATAATTCTGCCCCTATATTAATTTGAAAGAAATAATAACATTACATTAATTTAATTAAAGATGCGATGAATTTCGGTAGATTAAAAGCAAAACTACAATCAAAACGCGAATCAAATTAAAAAGCGTGAATTAAAGCAAAATAAATTAATTGATTGAGGCAAAAGACCAAATTCCCATAGCGAATCAATATATCATCATCGACCACGTGACCGAAATCCACCAACATTCCGCAACGAGATTAAATTACAACATTTAAGAACGAGAAAAATCGACACTGATGCACCTTACCCTAGATACAAACCACTCGAGACATTAGCTAAAATAGGAACCAATTTTACCCGCGCGAACCTAGGGTAAGAACCCGTTCTACTTAAGCCAAGATAAGAACCACTCAAGTTCACGTCATCTGCGTGGGCTAGGCAGTGGGCGGAGCTGGTAGCTTCAAATTGCAAAATGATTAAGAGCGCTCACCGGATGTGGCTCCTCTTTGGTGCAATAAAGTCCTGTGTAAAAAACTGCGTGTAGGTTACATGGCCTTGCTGGTCAAATCTGTTAATAACGATATAGGAAGAGGAAAGTAGTGAATGGCAATTCGAAACATAGCAATAATTGAGCAAACATTTACAAAAACATGAAAACGGTTTCAAACAATTAAAGTTTAACGGTATCAAACACGTGATTATCCATCAAATCAATTAGGAAAACCGGCATTCCCTCCATGAAATGCCATTTTTCTGTGTTATTTTGTATGTACAGAGTGGTTGAAATTCGTGGCTCACCATTGGGCCATTGGGATCTTCGCAACAGTGAGAGTATATATGAGTTTAAAATTTAATTTTTGTATATATACCATATGCGAACATTTTTAAGTTGCGATCTTTTTTTTATTTGCGACCAGGTAAATTGAAATTATAGAGGTGCGAAGTTTCTCCTTCAAGTATAAAGAATTGTATTCCGTAACCGAATGAGGTACAAGGTAGAGTACTATGGATCTAAAAGCACAACGCGTCATCTGAGTGGTAAGAAACTCCGATCCATAGAAAATGCGACAAGCGACCCTTCCACATTGCGGCTTAAAGGCGGTTTATGAAATAGCGATGGGTGTTGGGTAAAATCTAGTCCGTGGATGCGAAAGCGCCCTCGTTATTCATGATTCTAGCAAATATTATTAACGGATTTTGTTCCTCGTCGAAGCTGATGTTTACCGTACCTTTCAGGAATGATAAAACGTTTGATAAAACTCGTGTGCTATTTATATTATATTTACTTATGTGTATGTATATTATCTCGGATGACATTGAACAATTGCTCAACGCTGGAAGATTACCCAATTATAAACATCGGCAACGATGAGTGCGAACCATGACGACCATTATTTGGTGGTCCGGATTATTTATAGATTATCTCGCTATTATTTGTGAAGAATTCGAGATAAGGAGGTAAGGGAAAACACCACAATATTCGCGCGATTAAACGTATTTCACCGAAAACGTTTGGATGCTGCGTGATCGCAATGGAAATATTTATATATGTCCCTGAGTGAATGGCACTAAAACGCGCACCGATTCCAGCCATGAACATCGGCCAACCGTGGTAAATTGGACTGCGTCATGCGTGTATGTGAATACATAATTCGCTTACGTGTTGTCACCGTCCAAAGGACAGATAAGTTAGACAGATAATTACAATACTTTTATTTTGTTGTTTGAACAGATATACATATGTGAACTACATATTGCACATGGACGGGTCACAATGGCAATTCACGATATCTTCGCTCTTCTCTCACGAGATTCTCTGCACTAATTAAGACTATCAATTAGTGCCTAATTAACGATCACTCCGAAGTCGAAGATGGAGGAAGTCGCCTGAAGGAT